ATATCCTGGCCTCATAACAACAGATGTTACATGTAAGCAACCCTTTGTCCATGTCCCTGAGACGCAACACCCGTTTTTACTTGTTTAAAGAACCGGCACTTCCTTCCTAAAACCATACCAACATATACATATATATATATATATGTATATATGCTACCCCTCCGATGGATCTACCTTTTTGCTGTTTGAAGGCTATTTCGGATATGTAATGCAGTTGCTTTATTTGGAATGCCCCACGCGACTTGACCAGCATCAGCTCACCCTAAGCAAGGAAATCCTCTTCAAAATCTCATTTGGAATAACAATTCCCATTATGTGATCTTGTTGTAAAGGAAATCCTACTTAACTTATCTTTACGGTCAGAAATTATACTAGAATTATGTCCTTATTAGATTCCGAAAGGACGTTCTCCGTAAAATATATTCTGAAGTGAGAATCCCAATTAAAAATGCTCTTCAACATGTACATCCTATTCAATTCATGTTTAAGTCTAGAAATACATTACGTGGTGTTCACTTTTAATATCCATGTAAATTCCAATTGGAACCTTGAACAAATCATCTTGGGAAAAGACATCCTTCTGAACATCCAATTTTAAATAGTAATTCCAATCTTTAAAAGCAGTATTTTAGGAACACCTATGTAAACTATCTTTAAACCTATAGTAGAATTCTGTCTTTATTAATTTATCTTGACACTATGCAAAGAATCAACCCGTTTGAACATCTAGTTTCAAATAAGAATGTTGACTACACATCTTGTTCGACCAGGAAATCCTATTTAAATTATCTTTGACCTGGAACGAGAGAGAGAGAGAGAGAGAGAGAGAGAGAGGAGCGACCTGCAGCACGCTGCGGCCTAATCCTTGCTTCCCTCCCAGCATCTCAGGGTGACAAAAGCCACCCTCCACTTGTATCTTTAAACTAGAAACTCTTACCGGGGGTTGTTCCTTATTAAACTCCATTTCAATTCTAATTGGAAAATTGAAGAAACACAATGATAGAAAAAGACCCCCCTTTAAATGATCCTTCAAGTTCATTTCGAGACAATAATTCCAACTGCTTATTGTGTCCTTGTCAAATACTTTGAACTCCAATCAACAACAATTAAAAAAAGCAGTGAGTTTATTTGAACAAAAAACATGTTTCCAAAGAAACTCCTTGAGCAAACATCTGCGCGAGAAATAAGTCCGATTCCTGCACACGCGAGTCAATAAACCCAACACCCTATACCCTAAGCCGGTCCATTCCAAGCTGAGGTTTGGTCAGAAGATGCAAAGCAGCGGCTATGTTGGAGCCATTGGCCCAAACGTGCATTTTTTGAGAAGCGTCAAACTATGGAGCTAATAGCCCAAAAGTAAAGCGTAAAGTTCTAGAGCCAATGACCCAAAAGTGAAGAAGTAAAAACACTTTGGAGCCAATGACCCGCAAGTCAATCAAGTAGATTTCTGGAGCCAGAGCCCCAGAAGTAAAAAAGTAAACAAATAGTAAAACAATTCAGCCCATGGTCCCGAAGCAAACTGCGTTGACCATGGACTGAACCATTTTACTTCTTTACTTTTTACTTGTTTTACTGTTTTTTACATTGTTTTTTTTTTTACTGCTTTACGGTTTTTACTTTGGGTCATTGGCTCCAGAATTTTACTTGTTTTACTTTTGGGTCATGGGCTTCAGAGTTTTACTTTTTTGCTACTGTGTTGCCCTCTTCTTTTTGAACTTTTTTAGTTTTGGGTCGTTGGCTCCAGATTCTACTTGTTTACTTATTTACTTTTTGGTCATTCTTTGCGTTTTCACTGTTGGGCCAATGCCTCCAACATAGCTGTTGTTTTGCATTTTCTGACAAAACCTCAGAATAGACATGGGACAGAGGTAGATTCAAACTGGATTCAAGATTCCATGGAAAAGTTTGGCCTAAAGCTTTCAGATTGTCTTTGGAAATGCGCCCGTAGCTGCCTTCTGCATAGTCAAGGCATAAAACACCGCACATACCAGTCATTTCCAAAGGAAGCTAGATCCATCGGGGGGGTACCTTCATATATACATATAAATGCAAGCGCATATGTTAATATAGAAATATATACATATATATATATATATACATACATATGTATAGTATAACCTATGCGTCTTCGCGTTCGAACCACCAAAGGACCAAACCCAAAGGACGACCCCGCCGCAGGCTGGCGGTGGAGCTCCAGACATCCTTGGCCGCTGCGCGCCGCACCTCGGAGCTGGAGGATACCAAGCACCAGGGTACGTATATATATATATATATGTTCATGTGTATGTGTATATATATATATATATATTGGAGGGGGTTCTCAAAATAGGATGTGGTATATATATATATATGCATATATATATATATATGTTGGGGGGGTTCGCAAAATAGGAATATGGGACCCCTTTTTAGATGGCTTTGTCCGAGAAACCGAGAGGAAACCAAGCTTCATGAAGTTCCCTAATTTTGAGAAGCACCCGTGGGAGCAACTCACTTGCCCAAAGCGAATCGACCTGAAATTTGACCTTTTGGTTTCTCTTGTTTGGTCCATTTTCGGGCAACTGAGGCAAAGCAGCGACCCAGGTTTTGGAGCTTTTGGTACCTGAGGTTTGTCTTTTTAGGGCGGGCCCATGTTTGAAATCTCGATGTTTGAATACATCAGGACGAACAACACACACGATCGGCAGCAGTTGGGATGAAATCAACCGTGGATAGTAGGACAAACCACCTGTCAGCTGGTGAAGGATTTTACGCATCAGTAGGGAAACTAACGACATCAAAGGTTTGTGTTTTGAGTTGGTTCAAACAGGAAGACTATCCCATATACCTTATTTGGGTTGCATGAAGGGACACACGTTGAGAAACCAAATGGGCCATACCCGGTTCCCTTGTTAGCTTGAGGGTGTGTTCATTTGGCGAGTTTCAAGGGAATCCAATGGAAAGTACTTCGAAGGCAAATCAATGATGGGTCCTCTTTTTTTTTCTCGGTTTTTCTCGTTTTGGTGGCAACGCGGAAAATCCCCCGTTTCGGGGTTGTATGACGGGAACCCAATGAAGCCAAATACAAAACAGCTATCAGACTGTCGCCAAGTTTGTGGATGCCCAAAAATAGTTGGTTTCCTTTTGCTTTGCCTTAGCCAACCAAAAAGAGGATTCCCCAAAAAAGAGGGTTACCCATTTCCCCTTCAAGCTCCCTTTTCATGCGGCCACAACCCTGGGTTGGGGGTAAATGGGTGGCGCTCTTAAACGGAAAGGACCAAAATCTGCGGCCCATATCCTGGTGGTTTGATTTTAGCCCACACCCATGTTGCAGTACTTACGCAGGACACGCACAATAACATATACTACATTCACCTGCAATATGTCATGGATAGCTGCAGTAGTTTGGGGCATGATCTATGCCCGGCCCAGAACAGTAGTGTCAGTAGCCGTGTGGTTTCTTCGGAGTTGACGGCCGTGTATTTTTTGGTCACCTATCCTTACACCCTGGACCTCGTCCTCCTGGAAAAAGAAGTAGTTTCCGCCTTTGACAGGATATTCGGAAATCGTAGCCGCAAAAACCTGAAGCTCCTCAAGCTCATGAAAAATGCAATGTTGCAATGCTCACGGCCTTTGACAAATTAAAGGAAGCTTTGCGGGGTCAACGGCTTACCGCAGCCTGCAAGTTTCTCAAAGCATGCAACGCCGATCCAAAGTTGAGCGGTGCAGAAAAGCGTACCCATGTTGACCGCAAAACACCGTCAATTTCACGCACATGTCTTGCACAAAAGCAATCTCCCGCAACTCAGACAAAAACGTAGTTTTTATGCTTAAGGCATCCCATGGGGTTCACTGGCACGTTGGGAAGTACTGCGAGGTGTATTGATTTTGCATGGCCAATGTGCAACTGGAAACGACGAAATTCGTATGCGTGTTTGCCCAAATGTAGCTAGATCACTGAAATTCGGTAAATCGTAGGGGTCTCCAAAAGCACCCAAACAATTCCCGGAGTTTAAAATAACCAGGGTATAATACGTAGACTAGTTTGGGCGCCTGGTGTCGGGAACCACGTTGACTCTGAGCCGAGTTTTGGGAGGTTCTGTCATTTTAGCCAGCTTGTTTCGTTTGATCATTTCTTAAGGAAAGCCAGCCTGACACCAACATTTTGAGAATTGCTAGCTTCCACAAAACGCCTTCCCACATACCTCTGGTTGTTCTTGGAATTCTTCCAAAGAGGTCCAAAAACACGATGGGCAGAACGTATTGCCAAACGCGCTTGGAGCAACACGTGGGAACCCACAAAAGGCCTTGGTTTCTCAGTGGTTTCCCCCCAAAAAAAACCGCAACAGGCGAGGGATCGACGATCGGCGACCTTTGGCAGGTTTGGCTGGAAGTGGTCCACTTCAATGTAAATTGCCACTTTTGAAGGGAAATCCAGCGACCCTATTGCTAATTTTGTGAAATCAGGCGCTTCAGGAGTGGCGGGCATTTGGTTTTGAGCTGACCCCCAAAATCCCATGGGCCATGCCCAACTTGCCAAAGAATGGAAAAAGAACCTGCGGGGCTCAAGCACACGTTTCGGTGGTCCAACTTGTGGTGACTCCAACAACCGGCCGATGCTTGATCAACTCTCGACCCTTGAAGGTAGTCTCACAGATGGGCCTCTCATTGACTATCCAGCTCAAGAGGCACCCGGGTCTATTTTGTGGCAACCCAGGTAGCACAAGTTCCCTGTTTTGGTTTAGTCATCTTTTCCTTTCCAAGGGAAGCCTGTGATTTGCGTTCAACCTTCAACTTTGCTTTCTAAGGGAAGGATGCCATTTGCGTTTGCCAAGAATCGAACTGGCCAACTGTCCGAATCGCGCGAGGAGGCAAAGGCCAAGCAGTTGGAAGCACAGCTGTCGAAGCAGCGCAAGGAAGCGCCGTCGGCCATCGGATAAGCTCGGTTTTAACCATGAACAAAACCCAACCCCCATAAGAAGTTTGCTTTTTGTTTGTGGGGATTGTTGACTAGCTTGGTTGGCCATAGAGCCATGTTGTTGTTTTGTTTGTTTGTTTGTGACGTGCTGACGCGCTTTGACGACTCGCTCGCCGGCCATGCCGTGGCTAGAGCAGTTACCTGAGCGTTTACTTTTTTCTAAAATAAGCAAGCAAGGCCACAGGCACCCACAGATATGGTTGTTTGGGCGCATTCAAGCTTGGTTCGCCAGCTGGAAACGCCGCAAAGCCGGAGAGCCCTTGTTGGTTTTTTAAATGACACAAGGAAACCTTCAAACGCCGGAAAATGACACCTCCAACTTTGACGGCTCCTAGGAGTTGGAGGAACTGGCGGAGGATGCGGCTCGGCAGGACAGGGTTATGGCGATTCATGTGACCATGTGTCACGTCACAGAAGGAACGCTTCCCGTTTGTTCCGCCTCCATACTGGATTGGATTTGTGCCAAACCCCCCCCCCCCCTAATTCGTGCTTTCACCACTAGTTCCCCCCCCCCCAAGCAATCCCCAACAAATCCCAACCCTCCCCCGAATTTTGAGACAAAGCCATACCTTTGCGCCAATGGCAGGACCAGCTGGGTTGAGCATTGACCAGCTGGGTTGAAAAGGAAGCCACAAGGGGATGGGTCAGTTCTTTGTATTCCTCCCCCCCCCCCCCGAAGCAAACCCCAGCCCTCCAGGACCAGCTGTCCGTTGCCATGAAGGAGGCGCTTAACGAGCAGCGGGCGCAACGGCAAAGCTGCCTGAAGGCTCCGGCGGGCGGCAAAGTGGGGGGAGGCTCCCATCCTGGTTGCTTCCAACCTTGAGTGTTTTTGTTTTTTTTTTTTTTTTTGAGTTGGTACCTTGGTACCTCGCTATGTTGTGCAGTTTTAAAGGGAAACTCAAAGAACACCGAAGCAAGTTGGGGGGTCTGATCAAGGCCTCCTGAAGCCACCAAACCGCAAGGAAATTGGTTGACTGGTGACTGGTCCTTTTGACTCTTCACGCCAGTTGCCCTTTTTTTCCGACCAGCTATTTCTTGTTTTGATCGGTCGACATGTCCGGCCGTCACGGGACTTCACCAGGGGACTCAACCGCATTTTCCATGATCAACACGTGCGCCTTTTTTTATTTCTGGGGCTTAGAGGGATGGTCCTGAACCTGTTCGTGATTTTGCATAGCAACCATAGAGATTTCCACAGTCCAGCCATGGCCAGGAGTCGGGCCATGGCCTTCCTGGGAGATGTCTTGGTTGTTGCTGGCGCCGACTTTTTGTTTGGCGAGAAAGAGCAACCACACGGGAAACCCGGCATTCTCCATTCTCGGTTTTCGGTTTTCGGGGGGGGATTAGGTGAGACAGGTTGTTAAAGAAGCAGCACCATTTTTGGAATGCTCTTTTGGAATGCTCTGGAGATACACCCAGACAGTGTTTCCCCGCAACGCTTACTTTGGGTATTCAGTAGGTGTCCTTTGGTTTTTCTGTAGCTGTTTAGTTTAGGTGTCTTCCGATCCGCCTTTGTGGGTGTGAACTGCCACTTGTTGAGATGGGAGGGTTGTTTCCCACTGTGATACCAGGGAGGCCCTTTTCAGAGAATTCGTCATGACCTCGTATCACAGAGGGGACCTTTACGAGGCATGTTTTCCTACCCCTAAGGGTCCAAGTACTCTATACTGAGGTACTTTCGTGAAAAAGCCGTGCTTCTGACACTCCTGGGCCCGAGTACGTGAATGTTGCGGATTCTCATTTTGAAGCCATTTGGGAACACAAACCCAGCGCAAACCACGCGATACGTTCATCGCTGGATGGCACACAGAAGCACTGCCTAAGGTAACATGTCATACATTCGCCTCTAAAGCGGGGTGTTGCGGGTCAAAAGCCTCGGGATGCTCAAAGATGCGCAAAGATCTTAATGCCTGAGTAGCGACTAACTACCTTCTGCATTGTTTCAAGCTGAGGGACTGTTGCCGAATGTTACACATGTCTTCACCATGTCCGGCAAGAACAGCGATCGTGGGGAAAGTGCTTGTTCTTGTCAAAAGTGCAGCACCGATATGGCATCGCAACATCCTTCAGTGCATCAGAATCACCCTGGTGGCATCGAAACAGCACTCGCGCATTAAATGCGTTTCCCAGAACTGATGCCGCAATTTAACGCGATTTAACGCCCGGAAGCTGGCATTCACGGTTTTTAACGCAATTTAACGCAATTTAACGCAACTTTATCGCGTGATGTGTGGAAACTTTTTTCGCATGGCACAGCACTCACACATTAAACTCATGTACATTCTGAGGTTTAGTGCGATTTGACACAATTTAATCCGATCTCAGTCCCACAACTGCGCCGGCACGGCTTTGGAAGCAACTTGTTTCAATCGAACACGACTTTACCGCGTGATATTTTTCTTTAACAACCGCAGCCTAGACCGGGTGGGTTGATGTGCTAGAGAGCGCAAGAGTCCTTCTTGAGCAACCCCATGCCCCAAGACAAGCTGATCACCAAAGGTTATGATGCAACTATGTCGCGGTTGCAAATGAAGTGAAGCTGT